CGCCCCACCCCGCCGCGCCGGGTCCCCTCTCAAAGTCCACAGGTGCCTGTGCGGGCCAGCAGGACCTAACCTGCTCTGTTAGCACATTCCTGGCCAACTGGCCTGGGACACAGGGGAGGGGGCCAGAGCCTCCAGCTGCCGGACCTCTGGCACTAGAGGAGCCCGATGTCCAGAGGAGCTTCAGCTAGCATTGCTGGATTCTAGCCCCAGGGTAGCCAGGGCTGGTCTCCCGAAAGGGATGAGCTTCAGGGTGGGTAAGGGGGCGTTGTACTTGCAATCTCAGGATTCCGGCCTCTTCTTCTTCAGTTTCCTTGTAGGGAGGAGGGCCGTAACTAAGGAAAGCACCTTAGGGTGTGGGTGGGGGTGGTTGGGAGCAGTCGGGTCAGATACAGCTCCATTGGGATCTCCTTTGGAGGGAGGTGGTGAATGGTGAGGAAAGGGTCCAGGGCGGAGAGCTGAGAACAGAATCCAGTGTTCTGAAGTAAAACCACCCAGCCCCATCCACCTGTGCAGTCACCCAGGCAGTTTGCATAATCTCTTCTGTTCCCCTCCCATCTCATTGTGTAGATGAGGAAACTGAGGCCCAGATAAGATGGGCGTGGCCATGGTCACTGGGAGATGCGATGCTAGGCCCCTGGCGGCTTCTGGGAGCCCTGAAGCCAGGGTGGATAGGGAGGGTCCAGGCCTGGGACTCATTTGGGCCCTGCAACCTGGGCTAGGTGTCCTGACAGGCAGATGGTCCTCTTCCCAGTGGCGGCTTCTTAATATGTCCAAAGGGAACACATTGCCCCGCCTCACAGGGAGCTGAAGCTGGCAGGGACATCGGCTTAGGTCATCCAGCTGTGACCTGCCTCAACTCCTGGGGTCCAGCCAGCCTGTTCCCTGGACACTTCCCCTCTCATGGTGGGTGGGCCTGCAGTTGCTCCAGAGAGGAGGCACCTACAGGCATAAGGGAAGCCGGCTGCGGGAGCTGGAAACGCATTCAACTTGGTTGCTAGGTACTCAGGGAACCTCTGTGGGCAACGGTTGTGGGCATTGGGACCCTGAGCTGGACCCCCAGCTTGGGGCCTGGTGCTGGGACTCACCCCCGGCCCAGAGATGAGGGTGCATCCTCAGGCACAGGTTAGAAAGGGAAGATGGTAGAAACGCTCCCTGGGTGGTCTGAGGTGTCCTGCAGCCAGAAAGGGCCTTGGGATATGGCTCGGTTGTTCCCAGGAAGTGGGGGTCTGTGGACCTGGAGGAAGGACGTTTGCCACTTCCTCTTTCTAGTCTGGGCACTCTGGCTGCATGTTTTCAGAGAGAAAGATGAAGGAGTTTGAGAAGTCAGGAGTGCCGTGTGGGGGCCTCCACACCCTGGTCCCTGCAGGTGGTCAGCTGAATAACTGCCAGGCCCCTCAGCCTCAGGCGGCCTTTCAAAGGGCCTAAATCGTGGCAGGCTCAGGGAGGACCCATCCGAGGCTGCTGTGCCTCTGGGTCCCTGCAGTGGCTCTGCCAGGCCTGGGCTGGGGACCCTGGCAGTGCTGTCTGTTGGGCCTTTCTGCTTGGGCAGGGGTACAAGGTGTCCAGCCCATGAGGGGCACAGAGCATCAAGATGGGTCTCCCTCCCCATGCTGGGCAGAGAGCCTTTGAAAGGAGTCCCGGGGGACAGAGCCAGCCCAGAGCTGTGGGGTGGCAACTAGGCTCCCAATGGGGGTTGACAGTGAGGAGAAGGGCAGGTCGAGGCCGCTTAGACTTGTGCCTCCTCAAAACAGATGGGCTTGGAGCTCGGGAGGGCAGGGCCAGCATCGCAGGCTGGCTTAACACTCTGTTGCCACCTTTAAAAAATTCTTAACAATTTTTGAACAAGGGGCCCCATCTTTGTATCTTGCACTGAACCTCATAACTTACATGGTTGGTCCTATCAGAGGGCAAGCGTGGCAGGAGGTAAACACTTTCCCCCTAGGGCCATCACATTGGGGTACCAGCCAGCTCCTGAGCTCGGCCTGGCCCCTGCCTGCCCCTGCGGCCCCCCCATCCCCACTCTAGAGGGACTTGCCCTCATACCTCTGTGTCCTTCAGGGGACGCTCCTGACATCCCTCTCAGGTCCAGCTCCAGTCCCGCCCAGAGGGATGTGCTCTGCTTGGCTCCTCAGCCTGTGCTCGCCCATTCCTGACTGAATGCCCTCACCTGCTCCCTGGGGTACCCCAGGGACAGACCTTGACCTGTGGGAGGAGGGACCCAGAAACTGGACAGCAATCAGCTGAGGGAGGCCCTGGGAGTGAACGAAGAGGCAAAGCGAACTGTCCCATCTTTATTAGAAAAGAAACCACAAAAGGGAGTGGGGTGACCGGCCCTAAATAACCCTCCCACTGCGACACAGAGAGCCTGGCCGGTCCAGGCGCTGAGGTGTGGACACGGCCCCCTGGGCTGGGCTCAGGCATATTTACAAAGTCACCGTTTCATAGAAAAGGATGCCGGCCTGTGCAAACCGTGACCCGTCCGTCCTTCTTCATGTGGCTAAACTCAGCCTCCTCTGGGCCCCACGTGGTGGGGACAGACCCGGCTCAGAAACCACACAGGAGGGAGACTGGGCAGCTGGGGGACTTCATGGGCCCCGGGGTGTCGCTGGGGGCTCTGGCCCCTCAGATGTCCATGTAGTCATCATCCTCGTCCGTGTCACTCTCCAAAGAGGACTCCTGGCTTGACGTCTCCAGAACTTCCAGAGCCGGCTGGCAGAGGCTCTCCTTCCTCACATTGGCTGCCGACTGGGCAGAAAGGATGGCCGACTGTGCAAACCAGGCAGGGCACCGGTTAGGGTGGCCTGGCTCGGCCCCAGTTCCCCTGTAGCCCACACCCCCACCCGTGCCCCCCACGCAGCACCCTTGGTCACCTTCAGCTTCTGCTTAGTCTCCTCCGAGATGCTGCCTTTGGGTGAAAGCAGGGTCGGGGTGGGCGGCGTGACGGTGATCTCGGGGGGGAACTTGGTGGCAGCTGAGGGGATGACCAACTTTGGCATGTTGGGCAGGAGGCGAGACTTGGCCCGGCTGGGCTCTGCCTTGCCCAGGTGACACTCAGGTGGCTGGGCACTCCCACTGCTGGACACCTTGGAGCTGGCAACTGTGGGGTGGACCACTGGCTCTGAGCCTCATTCGCCGCCTCCTGGGCCTACCCGCCCCTCCCCAACTTGGGCCTCAGTTTCCCGTCTGGAGGACAGGCACCAAGAACAGCTCCTCGTCTACATCGGACTGTGGGTGCGTTCGCTCAGCTTTTCTGCTTGTGCTGACCAGCAGGATTCAAGCCTCCTGTCTCTCTCTACCACCCCGACTACTGGGCTCTGGCTCTAGGCTGTGGGGTGCAGGGGCTGGGACACCCCCACACCCCACCCCTGCCAGGAGTACGGTGTGCTCTACCGGGAGCCCAGGACAGGAAGGCAAGGTCCCCTGAGCCTTCCCAGGGATTTCGAAATCCCTCCAGGCACTGTGTATGCATGAAGTCTCACACCCCTGTGACCATCCTAGGAAGAACTTCTTATTAAGTGTCCACACCACAGGGAGGACACTGAGGCCCCAGGAGTCCACTGTCTTCCTCATGCTCCTGGGCAGGCATGGGGCTTCGTGTGCCTGGAGCCTGAGGTAGCAGTTCCAGGCCGGCAGCCTCCGGGGAGCTGCATGAGCCTAGCCAGTCTCCACATTCCTCCATGGCCTCATGGCTTTAAAAGGAGTGGGGCTGACTCAGAGCCCAGGCCTGGTCCCTCGGGCTGGCGCCGGGCCCCGCTGTCCTGAGTGGGGTCTGCAAGAGGCTCCAGTCCCGAGGAGTCCCCGAGGGCCCTGGCTGGGTGGGTGGCTGGTGGGAATGGGCTCTGACTTGGACATGAAGGCCAGTCTGGGCCAGGCATACTGCTCACCCCTCTGCCTGCCCCTGACTCCTCCCCCCACGTGTCTGCCCCTCCGCTGGCCCCATCTGGGCATGGGCGCCCCTCCTGCTTGTGCTTGCTTGATAAGCGGCCTGGGCTCTGTCTGCCCTCGCTATTCCCCTCGGTGGAGCTGAGGATGGAATGAGGGGCTCTCAAGGGCTCCTCTCCCATCTCTCTCGACACCGCATCCCAGCCAGGCTCTTCAGCTGCGGCTTCATCTCCCTGTATGTCACCACTGGGCCCTCCCCGGGCCCCAACTTGCCAGCCCCTTCCACCCTTCCAGGTGAGGGAGGCGCCTCTGCTGGAAAGCCCACCCTGGCTGCTGGCCAATGGGGCTGGGGCTGGGCTGCTCCCGCCTCCCTTACCCTGGCTGCAGGTGGGCTCTGTGCCTATGTGGGGGGCGGCCTCTGCTGGCCAACAGTGCAGCTCTGCCTGCGGGTCCTCGGGGGCTGTCTTCACTGGCTCACTGCATGGAGGCTCCTGGGGTGGGTAGCCAGCACCCTCTGCCCCTCCTGCCGGCTCTTCTCTCTCTGTGGGGACACAGGGTAGCTATGGGTTACATCTGCACCTAGCAGAAGGGACAGGGCCCCTCTCTTCCATGTCCTGGGACGCCCAGCAGGGGACCTGGGCTGAGGCAGCTGTCTACCCCTACCAAGTGGCCCATGGACCGGCAGGGGCCCCTCTGCAACAACTGCATGGGCGGGGCCAGACCGGCACTGGCAGGAAACCGCTCACACCCAGCCCCGGTGGACGCCGGTGGGGTCAGCCCCCTACCCGGACCGTGTGTACCTGATACAGTGGGGGCCACGCCGAGACCACCCCCAGCTTAC